AAAATAAGATACATGCATTGGTAATTCATAATAAGCAATTTAGAAACTTCCTATGAGCTTTCTTTGTTGTAACCTTCATTCTCTCACAGAAATAATTACTATCCTAAGTTTTTGGGTGTTCTTGCTAACATAGCCCTGCCTTACTTTATCATTTTTAGCACTTGTGATTGATAGTTTTTTGTTGTTTTTAATTTAGTTTTCTTGTTCTTTTTTTAAAATACCCAATAAAACTACACAAAATTTATTTTAAGCTCAACATTACACATTCACTCTCAACTTATCAATATGGTTAGGTACCAAAGAACCACTTCATTATACAAACATAAGCACTCAATATATGAAAACAAAGGATGACCACATCAGATCACAAAAGGGAGGATGAGTACATAATTATATAGCTGCCCAATTAAAACATTACAAAACTGGTAAATTACTTTATGACTTAACTCCAAAATTACAACATAACATAAATGAAATGGCAAGCCACTGAGACCCACAGTCCAGCCAAATTAACACATGACCTTAATCATCACAGCCAGTTTTACTCTTGCCTCGTATACCTAGGCGTTAGAAGTAGCTCCACTTCTGTTTGACACAGTCCCGGCAAAAGGAGAAACATCATACAAAGCAAATGATTCTCTGGAAAGATATCTTCTATCTTCCCTTTAGGATAACTCTGAATTCACTTGTAAAAATATATGATATTGTCATATTCACTGCTTTTACTACGAGCTCTGCGGAGCTTAGGAAGAAACCGGTCTGGCAACAATTGTTTCAGCTTCAATGGGTTAGATTCAAAGGGAATTGTATGAGCTACTCCCTCTCACAGAAAACTTGAGTACAAAGCAGCTGCATTTATGAGATCACAAAAGCAGATAACAAACTAAAGTAAAACTGACCCACCCCTATAGACCTTACCTAAATCAATTACCAGCCGGAATTCACAAACCCCCTCTACTACATACAGGCACCTACATAATTGGGCAGAGAATGGCAAACATAAATGAAAGGTGGTCAAAACTTAATAATCTACCTTTTCTGCAACAATTAGCCAGGTTGGGCCTTTTTAACATGCCCCACAGCCCCAAAAGGAAGAAACATAGGAAGACTGTGGTTAAGCAATTTACTGAATACTTTGTTGTTGTTGTTGTTAAGTGCCATCGAGTCAGTTCCGACCCATAGCGACCCTGTACAGGGTTTCCGAGGGTGTAAATCTTTACGGGAGT